TGAAGCGCCAGTTAACATCAGCCAAATTTTGAAATAACTAATTAACATGTCACGTCATGTGCGTGTGAAGATATGTGCCTGTCATACAGTTGTTGCCGATAGTTTGGATGTACTTAACTAAATTGTGCTACTCTCACACTTTTAGGAAATTTGCGTTGTCATACATTTTGGGCATTTTAAGTTCGATGATTTTGTGTTACGTAAATAAAACGTAAATAAAATTTACGATTTTATTTGAAACGTAAATAAAACCATTTTTTAGCAATACCGACACTGCCACTGCTGTTAATATCACAACTTACGCCTCACCATATGCAGCTGCAATTCGTTGGTTTGGCCCTCGAGGATTTTCCGGCGGTCTTTGTAACACGTTGCCACTGTTCTGCAGCATGAGTCTTGTGTGGCATTAACTAGTGGAGTCTGACAAACACGATGCTCTGTTGTCGTTAAACTCGATGATGCTGTTGTGATACCATTTCTACAGCACCGTTTCGCTGTGGGATGCGATCCAGTTTTCTTTTTCCAAGCCGGTTTCGAACTGACTTGTCAGTACCTAATAACCAATAGTCAGAATATTGCCAACCTTGTCAACCATCGTCATCAAATGAAACTCAAATGACCCGACTTACCTCGATTCGCTCAGACGTCTTATCAGTTGGCAAAAACGTTAAACTCACGTCGTTTCTGCGATCGATCGGGCTCAACAACGAGAGGAAACGAAATAAGGTTTCGGCGCTTCGCAGCTGACGCGCATATGGCGATGATCCATGCATCGCGTGGTTCCGGTTTGCCCTGGGCGCATCAAACTGACTATCGATCAGGTCGACGATCGCAGGTGCTGAGCGAGTCGAATGATCGTGGGATTTGTCTCCGAATTTCACTAATTAAAGCTCGCTCGCTGCGTGTTTAGTTTAGTTTGGCCACGTTCATGACTCATGTTTTAATCTGAATTAGTCAATCTGAATTTTAATTTTAACCAGTGGCCGATATTGAAAAAAGTGCAATCACCGATAAGGCAGTAACGATTGTACAAATAAAACCGTTTTGTCACGTGACTGAGGTGTAGATCATTCATGCTGGCACCACTTGGTAGGTTGATTACCGAACAAGCTGTGATTGCTGCACCGTTACGCGTCACTGGAGATGCTTGACGCACAGTCTGATCAGTCATCATGTCGACTGGTGGAAGCGGACACCGAAATTACCACTAATCGTTCCTTAAGTTCAATCGATATGAAACGCAAACTTCGCCACGCGCTTCATGTATACACTTCGCTAGCATGGGCACTTGTTTTGGGGTGGATAAAAACGGGGCTGTCAGTCAAGAAATCAGGCTTCGGAGGAGTTAAGTGTTTAATTACATATTCCGGCACAATAAAGCGTACTTAGGGTGTCTTGCGAGAACCTATGAGAAGTTCAACCTCTACAGAAGTCGTTGCCACGAAAACGATGAAAAAGATATTGCTCTAATCAACAAAAGAATGTAAAGTGCATCAAGTTGCTAGCAGTACTGCACGTTCTCAGAAGTCATGTAGCCCTGAAATCTGGCTTGGGCAAGTTATGGACTTATAAAAGCACATGCACGAGAAAACAAGTAAAATTTGGAACACTGGCATCTAAGCTTCTCGCTTCAACTTCATCATGGCTCGCCGTTTGCTTCGGTACCACAGTTTCAATGGTAAACGGTATTTAATCCATGGCAGTTGTTTGTTTCATTTTTATTTGACGTCAACTTTCAAATCATCACCATTAAATTAGCCTCTTGTCAATGTCATGAAAAGCAGAAAATGGCTAAAGTAGGGTGCATTTGTCCAATCGAAGCAAAGTGGGGCCTGTTCCTCATCGTTGTTACGGTAGCACAAAAGACAAGTCATGGACCCTATCAGGATGATTCAAGAGTTAGTGACAATAGCAGAATAACAGGATGACATATCTTTATGCTTTGGAAGGAAATCGAATATATGAGAAGATTACCTGGCTTAAAATCCTGACCGGGGATGATGTGTTTTGCTTATATCCATCACCAAGCGGGATAAAAGATATATCTTACCCTTTGCCTCATCGACAGAGAACCCATTATGAGCATCCAGGAAGGGTGGAAATAAATGTGGGAATGCGTAACCTGTCCTACTCTTTAGTCAGCCCTCATGCAGTAGATATGTAGA